AAAAGTCACTATTGGGCTTGTAACACAGGATGTGCAATTTGCCATGGAATACCCTGACCACTATGCTGCCATGAAGAGGGCATTTTTATTCTTACTGGAATAGACACGCTAAAATCCAATTTTTCTTCCTTCCATGTGAGCACTCTGTCTGCCAAAAATACCACCCGTGGACATAGATAATGCCTTATCCATCATTATCACATTCCACATAACATTGCTTTGGATCAGCGGACTCATGTCACAGCACATGAACGGTGGCAAGGGGCCACCTTTGACTCTTCTTACCATGTTCCCCATCACTCCGAGGCAGCTGAATTGATATAACAATGGAATATCATCTGCTGCCGTCCTCCACGCGGGGCGGGGCCGGGCGCACGCGCTTGCACACTAGCGGGCTTGTGCCCCGTTCCCGTGTCTTGAGGGCCAGTTTTGCGGGTCTCTCCTTGTTGCGGAGTAGCGGGAGTAAGGTGCAAGCTGCAACGATCAGAATCATGGCAGGACAGGCTTTTAGGTTTCTTCCCCTCTTTGACCGAGTATTGGTGGAACGGAGTGCAGCTGAAACTGTAACCAAAGGAGGCATTATGCTTCCAGAAAAATCTCAAGGAAAAGTATTGCAAGCAACAGTAGTAGCTGTTGGATCCGGATCTAAAGAAAGGGGTGGAGAAATTCAGCCCGTCAGTGTGAAGGTTGGAGACAAAGTTCTTCCAGAATATGGGGGCACCAAAGTAGTTATAGATGAAAAGGATTATTTCTCATTTAGAGATGGTGACATTCTTGGGAAGTGTGTGGACTGAAATAAATCACTATTGAAATGGCATCATGCGAAGCTGCCCATTCCACTGAAGTTCATCTGAAATCTTCCATCATGTAAATAATCTCTATGTCTCTCTTTTGTAATAAACTAATGATCTCCAAACTCATAAAAACAAACAATGGAATATCATCTATAAACACAATTACAAGGCCAGCTGGGTGGACAATGTTCTCCAGGAACCTGGACGTGCTCTAAATGAACTTCCACTATACAGCACTCTTTCTCCAGGATTCACAAGTCCCGGAAGCAAAGGGGTGAAAATGGCTGAGGCATCAATTACTATAATCCCTAGTGACAATTCTTCAATTGCTTTTGCTTTCTTTGTGATCCTATGCTTTATAGGTCTGGAGGTCTTCATTCCAAAGGAAAGAATTCTCACAGATGGAGACAAAAATATTGCTTCTGTTGAGCTGGAAGGTTTGAATGTCACCTGGCTGCTTTGGGCTCTTCATTACTGTCTATCAACAGGCCAAGAAGGCAGTTACTGTATTGTCTGTTTTTTCTTTTTTCCCCATCCTGATTACTAAGAGGAATTCAGATGGATATTAAATAATGGAGATGAAGATTATGCTGAGAATAAAGGATATTCCCTAGGTTGACTTTTAGTACTGTGGTTAGACAAAACTACAATTAATTCAAAGCCCTACCCAATGGTGTAGGTGTTTCAGAAATGAAGGTTTGGGTCACTTCACAAGGCAGAACCACAAGCTGAGGTGCATGCTTTCTGAGGGCCAAGGGAATATGGATGAAGGTAGTTCTAAATATGTGACCAGTTGCAGAAATAAAGACTGTAATTATTATTAGTATGCACCAAATATTTTCTTTCCTCACTTCTTTCTATAAGTTTGAAATTGTAAACAATTTCCACTTATTTGAATTCAAAATCAACATCCGTGGTACCAGTGCTCAGGAAATCAGATGTATAGTACTGGGAAAGTCTGTTCTTAGGGACCTCTTGAAAGTCCTGAAGAATAATGACGTCAGCTTAAAGGTTAAGGTGCACCATATCCAAGCTATGTCCTTTCCAATCACCTCCTATGTGTCCAAGAGCTGAGCAATCAATGAGGATTACAGGAAAAGAACTGATGTCTTTAATTTGTGGTGTTGAATATCTTGCGGACTGCCAAAAGGGCAATCAAATATGTCTTGGAGAAAGAGTAACCAGAGTGCTCCTTCGAGGCAAGTATGATGAAGTTTTATTTGGGCACTGTGTTCGTAATTCATTCTGCCAAGATTAGTAGCATACCAGTTATAAGAAGTGCTGAGTGCATAGTGGGAGTGTACTCGGGGGTTGGGGGAATTGTATACCAATGAAGGAATTTTTCTTTTACTTTTTAAAGAGTGAACTGGGGGGAGGGGTGGGCAGGGAGAAAAACGCAACAATGAATGAATGGAAGTCCAAAGTCTCATAAACGTGCATTAAAATTAATAAAATAAACAAGTGCCAAGTCAACATTGTCTCAAATACTTTACCTGCTGTGTAAGTCCATGATTTCCAATCCCTGGAGAAGGACGGGTGGAAAGGTGCTTGGAATCATGCTTGGAAGGGTGGAGGGACAGTGCAGGAGAGGAAGACACTGGATGAGATGGATTGACACACTAACTGGGGTGATGGAGGAGGCATGTTGGAGGCAGTGAGACTGGCTCAGGATAGAGCAAGATTCAGAGCTATTGTGCATAGGGTTGGCATGAATCCCAGTTGACTCAATGGCACATAACAACATCTATGATACTTTCAACTTCTTTAGGCTGCTTCCAGCCAAAAGTTTAAGCACTTATTACTAACAAAAAAGGTTGGCAGTTGGAAATCATGAGCAGCTGTGTGGGAAAAGAAAGCTTATTAACTGTCCCCAAGAACAGTGTTCCCTTAGGAAACCCTCCAGGGCAGTTCTACTCTGCTCAACAGGAGTGGTGAGTCAACTGACAGCACACAATATACTTCTCCCCACCCCCTCAGTGAACAAAACTTGGACAACGTACATCCAGCGGTAAAACTGGTATAGGATGCAAAGTGGAATACAATTCTCAGTACGTGCTAAAGGGAGTCCAAAGAACACACTAGTAAAAGAGGAGTTTGTTCTTAACTCACCTAGTCTGCAGCAAGGAGGATGGGTGATGCAAGCCCAGGGAAGAAGATACAATTACACTGACCCTGGCAAAAGGTGTCTAGTCTAGGGCAGTGTTGAACAACGCAAGGGTGGGCTCTGAAGTTATATAGGGGGGATGCTTGCATCAGCTCCATGAAAGATGCCCTGTCCTATCACCCTTCCCAGATCCCAAAGAAAGTCAAATGGGGCTCTTCCAAGTAAGGGACTTCAATGCCTGGCATGAGGGTATGCACAGATGATAGCACAAAACCCCATTTCCCATAGCAGATGAGCTTCGGGGAGTAGCCACGGGCACCCAGGAGGCAGGGACAATAGTAACAACAACAACAACAACAACAAAACTCCCATAAGCTCTTGTGCCACTGTTTCTGATAAACAGGATCTTTTTAGTTCAGGTTAGAAGAATTGATTAGCATCTCCAAAACTCATTATTTAGAGAATACTTTATTAGTTTCTGTAATCAAACCCATGTAGATAAGACCTTACATATTTAATACAGTGCGTTACCCCTGTACAAATGGAAAAAAAAATTTAACATTTCTAGACCAATATGGCTGTTAATT